TTATTGAAAGTTCTTATAGAAAGAAGTCTGCTCTTTAAAACAATTTTATGGCTTCAGATCACAATGCTCCACACTCTGGTTGTAGCAGCTACTCATAATAAGTACTGTCATTTTGAGTGAGTTACATTTTTTTTACTTCACTCACTGGGGTGTCTAAGGAGAATAGTCACCAGCCTAACAGCAAACAGCCCAGTTGCTAGTGGATGGAGAATAAAGCAATCAAGAGCATGACCCTAGGAACTGTGAATACACTTCACATTGAGATCTCCTGGATTTATAAAAAAAATATAAACAAACAGAAACCATTCAAAAAATGCCTGCATGACTCAGTTGTCTTTGATATTCTCTCCTACATGTTGTGCTCTGACTATTGGACTACAAAGTCATGTTCTTACTTCAGTACACTGCCACTTTGATTTCATATGTCCTGTTAAATTTGTCCCTGGGTGTTAGATACCTTTCTCTCCTTCCCTCAGAATACAGTTTTGGGACACCCTCTAGGTGAAGGGACCTGACTCCTTGCTGTGAAAGATGGTTTTGTGATAAAGTTGATGCTTACTCTGTACTTTAGGGGTACCTCAGTCTCTGACCCTTCAAGGTCTTAAATGTCACAAATAACAAGTGATAGGACACTGCTAAACCAGGGGAGGTTTAGATTGGATATTAGGAAAAATTTCTTCACCAAAAGGATAATCAGGCATTGAAACAGGCTGTCCAGGGTGGAATCACTATCCCTGGAAGTGTTCAAAAGACATGAAGCTTAGGCCCTTAGTGACATGGTTTAGTGGTAAACTTGGCAGTCCTGGGGACTTGATGATCTTAAAGGTCTTTTCCAACCTAGTCAATTCTATGATTCTGTGAAGCAGGTCACTTGGAGAACCTCCAAAGAGGAGCCTTGTACATGTTACTCTTACTTTCCTTGCACACAGAACGGGCATCACGCATGCAAACAGGTTTGTTAAAAACCTGTCCTGGAAATTTTTCAGTCAAAATACAAATATCTAATGATATCAGATGTTGCTAAACTAGGTTGCTAACTAGTGTTATAGCAAAAGATTTAGATATGAAGAAATCTTTCGAGTCCAGTTTTGCATGCCCAAGCTTTTTCGTTAGACCTTGTCTATACTTTGAAGAGATCTACCGCTTCCAACAGTTCAGTTCTAGTCATGTCTGCATCATCCTGGCTTTCTGTAATCAGTCATTGGACTTCCTATATCAAGACCTAAATCACAGGTGACTGTCAGAAATACAGCCTGAAGACATTGATCTAATAGATGACTAAAAGACATGCTTAAAACATGAGTCTTAAGATGTGAGACATACTTGTCATGTATTTACCTCCAATTGGCTGAGACCTATCCAACACTTCACTTTCACATAATACATCTCTGAAAATCAACACCCCAAACTTTTAGATTTCCCACATATACCCTCATGGCTACATTTTTCTTTCACATTTTCTCACTCTTCTGTGGCAGACCTTCACCTCTCCAAAACATATCCCTACCTACCCTTGCTTTTCTTTATCCTCTTGGAAGATGTGGTTGCTTCTGGATGTATTCATTTGTATGTCTCTGATCTCATGCAGCTTCACAATTCTCTGCTGCCCAGCTTTCTAGTCTGTCACTCACTGGTTCAACAGAGTTCCTTTGCAAGTTGCTGCAGATGACACAACAGGAAAGTTATATGAGACACAAGCTTTTGCCTCCCATGGGAGTGAGTTACCAGAGATCAGCTGCCATACAGTGTCTTGCTCCTGCTTGAGGCAGCAACTTCCAGCACCTGAGATTTTTGCTTCATTTCCATGCATACTGCTGTCCAAAATTAATACCTTTCCCATTTTAAACATGTTAAAATAGGCAGTCTGAAAATCAGCATATTTGACAAGCAAGCAGATCATGAGCCACTTCTTGGCCATGACTATTATAGTCAATAAAGAGAAGCTGCAGAAAAATTGCCCATAGTATCTAAATAGAAAAGCTTTGGGAAAGGTATTAATGTTTTCTTTATCTCATGAAGACACAAAGTGATGTCTTTGTCTCTCTTGAAATTCTATCAGGGGTACAACAGGGATGAATCTGCTCCATAAAAACCAAAATTGCACAAAAGAAAATTAAACTAATAAAAAGAGAGAGAGATTACAATAACAATAAAAAACAATAGGCAAAGAGAAAACAACTCCTTCTCCTTATTGTTATGCATCCAGAATCAATGTCTGGCTCATTTGTTAAACTTTTATGGCACTGTGAGTTTCAAATACTAATTTTCTTCAGCATGAAAGTGCCCTTTTTAACAGGATGAATATGATGCTCTAGGTGCAGGCAAGAGCAGGCATCTGGAAGATGCTAATGTTATGTTCTAGCCAACTGGAGGTTTGTGGGCAAAAGGCATTTGCTTTATTGTTTGTCCTATGCTTTTTTCTGACCTAACCTGCTGATGCTGCAAGAACATTTGGTCAAAAAATGTCTGTTAAAACCAGTTGTTTTAATGATATTGTGTTACAATTTTCATTGACAGTGAGGCTAAAACATCCCTTTCCTGTAAAGTAAAATCTTTTGCCTCAAAAATTAGATGGTGTCCACGTGGAAATGAGGCATCCATACTTCATGGGAAGGGAAGCCAGGCAGTGAGCCACCAGACTTCACCTCCAAGGGGACATTGTGGTGGCAATGTCCCTTGCATTCTGCTAAATGAGGGTCTGATGAATCATAGGAGGGGTTATCCTAGGACAAGGAGAGAAAGGCAGTGAAGCAGCATCACTTATTTGCAATAATGGGAATTCCTGGTAGAAAAAGTTTGTCTTTCATCCTTCTGTTAAAAACAGAGAATTAAACTTTTACAAGTGACACACTGAAAACCAGTGTACAGTGATGAAAGGCTTTGTTTCAAGGTCTTCCTATGGGTAAAGCATACAGCTGAACCCAATATGACCGGAATTTCAGTGCCCATAATAGAAATAGTCAGCTATACTGGTTTGTTTGCAGAAGTTTTCAGTACTTGCTGAGTTTTCTTTAGTGTCACTGTGTGTATACTAACAACACACACAGCTCTCCAGGACTTTTGAAAAAGTAGGCCATTTAAACAGGTGAACATCACAGGGTAACCTTAATTATTGGTAAGAAGATGGACCAGAAATTATGTTCATGGCCATACTCTGATGATAATAATAATAAAAGATATCATGCCATTGACAAATAGAAACAATTTTATATCTAATAGGATTTAAGTAATAAAGGCTGAAGGGCTGCAACAGCTGCAAAGAGATTAGATACGTTATGTTTTCTCAGTGTAATAAAACTTGTCAAATAAAGCTGAATAAAATCTTCTTATCAGTGTCTCTGGCATATTTTTCCTGCAGCCTCTTTCCTTTCAGCTGATTGTGGGAATCACCATTTCTCTAGAATGGTTATACACACGACAGTTCAATTAGAGTCAAGTTAGTGAAAGTTATTGCTGTATTTGCTCTTGATTATGCCAGTTTTTGTTTTGTTTTTTTTGTTTGTTTGTTTGTTTGTTTTTTCAAGCAAAGGACATCTGCAGCATTTGGAAAGTATGAAGCAGGTCAAAAAGCCCACTCTGCCAATCTGTTACCAGTCTCTGCTAATATTCACTGGACAACTGGGCTGGACTGTGTAAACGACTGTAGTGCCATGAAACTTAGCACCGGTTTACACCAGATCTGGATCTGAAATTAAACTAAAACACATCAAAATAACAAGACAGCCTTCCCCAATCTCATTTGATGCTGGCTTGGCTACACCAACCTGTTCTTTTGTAAGGTCTCCCTTTTCTCAGCTGTCAGCTCCCACCTGTAGGCACTGTCTGGAGTCCTTCTCCATTCTTTATGCTCCTCCTGCCTCTGTTTCTTCCTATCTAGAAAGGAAAGCACTATCTCCGTAGGGCTGGTGTACTAATGTTTGCTGAAAGCTTGAGGATACACAGATGGTATTTGCATTCAAAAGTGTGAGTTGTTATTATTAGTCTTAATAAGATATGACAGGCTGACATTTTGCTAACCTTTCTGTGAAATCCAAGGCCAAACCCTTGGTTTACAAATATGCTTGGATTTGCCATGTGGTCCATCATTCCACCTACACTAGTATTTCTGAATGTGCGTTAATGTTTGATTTAAATTACATGAGCATCTAAAACAGTTATTGCTTTAAATATGGAATGGGAAGAGTGAATGACGATGCACGTCTGAGCAGCATTGCTGTTGCCTTCAACAAATACTTGAACAAAGTACATTACTTTCCAAGGCAATCCAGTGAACCTAGTAAGAAAGGCCGAGGGATCCATCCAAGCTGATGTAATACATAAAGACACAAACACCATCCATAAATCAATAAGCATTGATTTAGGTAAATGAGAGCTTTACCCTTAGGTAAGAAAAAAATATTTTTTTTTGTATGTACATATTTTAAATGTTTCATGCCAGACTTCTGGGGACACATTCAATATTAATTAAAATTTAAGTGTATTGTGCCAGCATCCAGAAACTCATTATTTAAGATTGTTTTTTTAAATTAAAGCTTTTCTCCTACATTTTTTCCCCTCCAGATAGAAAGCCCAGGAAGCCAATGCATGATGACAATGTAATAACTAATTAGGGAAAAAAAAGCCGAAACTGGTTGCTGGTGCTGAAACTACTGTCAAAATATATAGTGTATCTGTGACTGAAACAATTTCTGGATATTGTTTTAAACTCATCTGTTCCTTGGGATAAAGGGGGAAGAAATTTCTATATAAACTCATTCTAATAATTTCATTTATTCTCAGGTTAATTGCATGGAACTGTGAAGATGCTTGGAAAATAAGGGTGAGTGTAAACCCTGTGTCACCCCGAAGAGCTGCAGTGAGCTCTGAGCCAGCATGAGTCCTCAGGGAAGTAACTGCATTAACTAGAGTGTTCCCAGCCTCTAAACTGGTATTGCAGGGGCAGTACATGCAGGTTTATTAGAAGGAGGATAGGGATTAAGATGCTTCTCTTCCTTTAATAGCACAGGAAATCTGATGACTGGCAGGATGCATTAGTCTGGTTTTGTAGTCCCTAAAGCAATGAGGTCAACCCAGCTGTCACCAGGTGGTATACACACATCACATGCAGCATCTTGCTTGTCTGGTCATAACTGCCGCCCTGGTCCCCAGCATAGCTAGACTCTATGGAGCAGGCTGAAGTGTGAGTGTGCACCACCACAGTCCAGTGGTCAGCATCTCTGGGAGTCTTTGGCTCTCTTCCCCAATTGCCCACTTCTTCACCTCTATGTTTCTATTATTATTACTATACAACATTATTCTTCCTTCCTTACAAAGTAAGGTAAGTGTTGTATGGGGAAATACTCTTTAGAGGTTTAAATCAAGAATGACTCCACTGATTTTAATTAAGTTGGTTCAGTTTGTTTCCAGCTGAAGTTGTCATCTATTTGTTGAGATGGCCTTAGGTATAGCTGTTGATAGAAGTATTTATGTTAGTAGTGGGATGGGTAAAATCACATTTTAGAGCATGAGCTTCTTTTCTGCTTGTCTCCCTTCCTGTGAAGTCAAATTGTTACCAGTGACTCAGATAAATGTAAGGAAGAGCCTATGCAAAGTTATTCCTTCCCATGGCCTAGCCAAAGTGTTTTTCTAAAATCCTTTGCCAGCTGAGGTACAGTACTCCCAATGTGACAGGAGATTGTAAAAGTCACCTGCACAGCTCAGCCCTCTGGATATAAAACTCTGTGTAGGTACACAGCCAGCTTGTTTTTCTAGGAATATGAACAGGAGTCAAGAGGGCATAGAAAATGGAGAATTACATCCTCTGCTTAAATTCCTCTACTCTCTCTGCAAGATTGTCCTGGGTTCAGCAGTAAAAGTCATTTTTCTCCTGCTTAGTAGCTGGTGCAGTGATGTGTTTTTGACTTTCAGCCTAGGAACAGTGATGATAACAGCGATGTTTTTAGTTGCTCTTCAGTAATATTTAGTCTGACCAAGGACTTTCTGAGTCTCATGCTCTGCCAGGGAGGAGGGGAAGCCAGAAGGAAGCAGAGACAGGACACCTGAGCCAAACTGACCAAAGAGGTATTCCATACCACAGCATGTCATGCCCAGGATATAAACTGGGGGCAGTTAACCGGAAGGGCTAGATCACTGCTCGGATCAGCACGCGGTTGTATTCTCTTCCCTTGTTATTTCCCTTATCATTATTATTATTGGTGGCAGCAGTAGTGGTCTGTGTTATCTGGACTGTTCTTATCTCAACCCGTGGGGTTACATTCTTTAGATTTTCCTCCCCATCTCTCTGGGAGCTGCGGGGAGGAAGCAGGGGAGTGAGCAAGAGGTTAAGTGGTTCTGGGTTTGCCATCTGGCAAAGATTATGAAAAAGTCCTTTGTGCAAGTGGATACTTGCTTTGACTCTTGTCAGAAATTCACATTTTAATATTAGTTTCTTTCTATTTTGTTTGGGTTCTCTTTTTTATTCTGGTGGTAAAAACTTAATGAAAGTTAGCCTGACAGGAAACTCTGGAATCCAAGCTGTGGGTGGTTTGCTGCCACCGAAGTCCTTTGGGCCTTAAAGTTCATTCTTATCACTGCTATTTAATGTAACAGCATCATCAGATTCCTTTCCAGCACTGCTTTTCACACATGATTGACAGATATAACAAGCAGGTAGACAAGAAACTTGTTGCAAGACAATGGATGTGCACATTAGAAGCTTTCTGAAATGCAGAATGTTACTAAAGGCCATAATCTGATATCAGCGATGGAGTTGGCTGAAGTTACTCAGTGCACTTCAGTTCTAATACTTTTTTTTAATTTTTATTTTATTTTGTTACTCACCTCTTGCAATAGATCACTACCCACGTACTCAAGGTATTTCTTGCATACCAGAAGCCCTCAGGACACAGGAACCAATCAAAGATATTGATATTCTTGCCTCAACATTAAGGCAGGGAAAGAACTGACAGGAATTTTGAGTTCCCTGTGCATAGAGGAGCTGGTTACCATTTCCATATGGCTTTCAGACTGTCTTTACACACTTGAGGAACACCCTGCAGTGCCTGAGGCATGATTTGCTCCAAACAGTTTTTGATTCCCAACAATATAATTTGTTGGAAACACTCTGCTTTTGTTGGAAGCACTGACAGACAGTCTGGGAGCTACTGAAATATGTCCCTAACATCTTGAACAGAGTTTAAATGACAGAACTCAAGGTTGTCATGGCCAATGATTAGACAAAGTGCCCCATGACCATCATAGAATCATAAGATAAATCATCCTTGCAACAGGTCCCAGATCAGGTATACACTTATGCTTTCAGTCACTTAATGTCTGTTTGGGTTTTGTTTCTTTTTTTTTCAATTGCACATTTGGAATTGCATATTGGACATTTAGAAGTCCCACTTCAAGGCCAAGCTGGAGTCCCAGTATCCCAGCCTTGCACAAGCAGTGTTATACTTCTGGATTTCACCAAAATGAACAGCTGCTGCTCATGTTCCTCAGCTGGTAGTCCATGAAATACTGTGTGATGGTTCCTGGGGAGACGGGGGGAGATCCTTAAGTCTAAAGAGGCGATGATCCATATGATCTGCTCTTAGCTCATGCTCAATATGCTTCGCGCCTGCCTATGTTCTTGGACTCTGCACAGGAGCGTGATGTCAGCTCCAGTGCAGTGTTGCAAACAGCTTTATCCCTGCCTGAAAGAGGAAAGAAACATGGTGGTCTAGATTTGAAGGATTTTTAGGGCTTAGCTTGACATTTCTAATTTTGGCCTGCCTCTTGCCCTTACTAGTAGCTAATCAGCTCTTAAGCACACAAAGCATACATAAACATGAGCACTGTATCCCTCAGGAGTAGCCCCATGAATTAATGGAACAAAAATGATTTATAAACATCTCAACCTCAACCTTCATTTGCTATGTGTGGAAGATGTATACATACTGGGTTGAATGCCTCTGTACCACAAAGTCCAGGCACTTGTTGTTAAAGATTCTGCTACATTATTGGTGATGTTAGTACATACTCCCCATAAACAACCAGTGAAAAGATTAGACTGAGACCTGCAGGCTGCAAACAGAAAAAGCTTGTAAAATTTGGCATAATCCTGTGGACTTCTGGCCAGCATATGTGTTGGTCATCATGGTGTGTTCAGAGACACCAGCAGCTATAAATCTTCCCATTCCTCTATTGTGAGATTTTATCATTTCTGTCACAGCGTCTGCTGTGCTACTGCACTGAAAGCTCACAGGGTGGCTCCCCCTTCCCAAAAGCTTCCCCCTGAATGGGGAAGGGCATAACAGGAGACCACAAGCTCTCTGCTCTGTGCAAGGAGCAAGGGTGTGAAACCAGGAGCTGCCATTTGCTGTCAATTTTATTTATTTTTGTAGCACAGCATTTAAAAGAGGTATTTGACTATGACGCACTTCACTCATGAGGAAGGACCAACATACACCTTTTTTCATAACTTTTACAATTAAAGCCTGTTTTAAAGAACTTTAAAGAGGATTAAATTAGAGACACTTCTTAGTATGAAATGGTGCAGCTTCTCAGTGACTGATGGAAACAAATCTGTTTCCGTCATTTACAGATGAAGCCAAGCAGCAGGACCACACAAAACCAGCATGAGAAAAAAACAAAACAGAGAATTTTCAAATTTAATTATATAATTTATGAAAAGAGAACTGCTCATTTTGGGGACTGTAATAAGAATTTGCATATTCTGTTTGTAAACAGTCCTCTGGGCACCTTATCTCTGTTTACAAATGATAGTTTCCTACTATTTGTTGTATTTGTTGAACAAAACATAAACATAGGTTAGAAGGCATCAAGACTCTAACACTGCTTGTGTTATTTTTCTTTCTTTCTCCTCCTCCTTGTTTCCTTTGTTTGGGGGTTTTGACCTCCTAATGTTTTTGCTCCTTGACCCAGAATATCAAGAAACAAATCAGATTTCCACAGGGGAAAGGTGCTTGTTAAAACTGGTTTTGGTTTTCAGTGCAGCAGCAGCAGAAGGTTAGAGCATTTTTGACACAAATAACCTCAGTCTTTAACCTGCAGCACTGCTTTACATAACATTCAATAGCCTTGTCAACACAACAGGAAAAAAAATTCTTAGATTTTTCTTCTTTGGGGCAAATAAAAAAGCACTTGTCAAGGAAAAGTATTTTTGTATCAGAGGCTTTCTTTTTCTTTTTCATCTCTTTTAGTTCATTTACTGTAGGAAGATGCTTCGTTCTAAGTCTTGGAGTTTGAAAACAGAGGCTTTTTGTAGTTATGTGTTTTGGGGTTTTTTTTTTGTTTGTTTTTTGTTGTGTTTTTTTTTTTTTTTAAGTGGATTATCATTAGAGTCGTAGAGTCATAGAGTGGTTTGGGTTGGAAGGGACCTTCAAGATCATCTACTTCCAATCTCCTGCTGTGGACAGGGACACCTTCCACTAGACCAGGTTATAAACATAGAATAGTTAGGGTTGGACAGGACCTTAAGATCATTTAGTTCCAGCCCCCTCCTGCCATGGACAGGGACACCTCACAGTAAACCATCTCACCCAAGGCTCTGTCCAACCTGGCCTTGAGCACCGTTGGAAAAGAGTTTCTGGGGGACACTTGTAATACATATGAGTCTTGTTGGTACCCCTGTTGAAGATGCATGAATCTCATGAATAGTGATCATCACCTTTTGGCATCTGTCATAATAACTCTTTACATCAAAATAGACAGAAGTTGCTCTTGGAGCAACCTGGAATCTGGGACTGGGAAATGCTAACGCTGTGCTGAGTCTGGGGGTTATTTCTTGCTGTCACACATTCATTATGTGGCCTTGGGCAGGTCATTTGAGAACAGTGAAAAGCCAGGGAATTTCACAGGTTTATAAATCAGCAGAGAGGCTGTGCTGATCAGTTAGTGTTTCCAGCTCCTGCAGGATTTCCCTGATTGAATTTCTGTTTAAGCTTAGCTATGTCTTTAAGTAAGAATCGTGTAAACCTGTCTTAACTTTAACATGCCCAGTAACACTGCAGCTCTTGGTAATCATTCCCTTGGTTAATTATTATTCATATCAAAGAAACCATGCTGTTCTTGAGGAAGCACAAAGCCTGGATTACATATTTATTTTCCCTCTATATTATCATTAAATAAAGAATACAGTAGAGGAAACAGGATTTAATTTCTGACTCACAGTTGCCTCTATCTCAGCAGTACATAGGTACCTGAAGTAGTAGGATGTGAGAGTCCAGATCCCAATGCAGCTTAATTGGGTACACAGATTATTAATTCAGGCATGGATCTAGATTGAGGCAGTTTAGTTTATGCACCCTGAGTGATAAATCAGATTGAAGCTGTGATGAACCACTGGCACTGACCAGGTTGTTGCTTCTGTGTCCAAGCAGCCAAGGCACCACTTCACAATTCCTGTTAGTGAATGCCATGATCAGAAGGCAGGACTCTTTGGCCAGAGCAAGGTTTTAGGTAGGTTTAAAGGTTTTCTTACAGAGATCTGGAAGCCCTGTGGAATAATAATGCTGTACTGACTCTCAGACCAGGCTTCTAATGGTTGACAAGGTCCAGCACCTAGCTTTTAGGCGCTGAACTCTCATTTAGCCCATGCAAGAAAAACTCTTGTAAAGGCATAGTCACAACAGAGATACTGCAATATGATCAGATAAACAGTATTGTGACAGACTGATTGTCTTCACAGTTTGAGTAGGATTAAGGTGCCTAAGCATAAGCATCTAGGGAACCCCACCAGGTCTCTAATTGCTGTTTAAAAGGGTGTTTCTATTTGTGCAGCACAGCTGACAATACTGCTTAGAAGTCTCAGACCTCCAAGGGTATTAGAAATGGCACTAGATTCCCTTATAGGAATATATCAGTCACAGCACCACGATGGAAGAAAATGTAAATCTACTTGGAAAGTATAGTTCACAAACCTCAGTGATCCATTAAAGCATCTGCTTCATAAAGCTATGCTCCTTAAGTCCAAACTAATCCACTCTAACCTTAGGCAATTTAAGACAGAGTTAAAAACTTGTGTACCATGAATTCCTTCTGTAGTCAGTAAAGAGAGGTATATTTAAGAGTTTATCTAAAATCTAGCAGATTCTGCATGGGATTATTCCATGGTTTGACAGCTATCTAATTGTTGTCCAGGAACTTTCTTCCTGCATGCTTATTTTGATCTACATGGAGCAGATTTTTGTTTGTGGCAGCAGTTTCCTGCAAATAGAAGGTCAGGATAAGTCTGGGCTTGTGGATGAGACCCAGCTTGTGAGTAACTCCCATGCAGTTAGTGGAGCTACATCTGCCTTTGAAAATGTGTCAGAATAGAAGCAGGTTCCTTCCCCCATTGTGTTCAGAGAAACAACCTGAGTATCAGATATGATCCAGAATTTGTCTACATGAAAGTGTCTGCTGCAGCTAATGAAATGTACACTCTACTTAAGTCTTGTTGTATGGATCATATCTATCTTGATTCTAAACAGCGTTGTTAGTGAAAGGGAGAAGGCAACGGAGAAGAGGAAATTTTGTACTGTGTGAAATAACGTTTTAATGAGAAGTTTGCTATTCAGCTAAGACCTGAAATCTAAATTTCAGAAAGATGAGGAGCGTGGATTCAGGTGGGCAGAAGCTGCATACTGCGAGGGCTTGAATTCTAGATGGATGAACTGATATGGACATTTGAAAATGACAGCTTACGGAGCATTAGACTCAAGTGGCAGGAGGAATGACCCAGCTAGGGGAATATCCATAGTTTGTTGCCATGCTTTTTTTTTTATGATATGAATGCTTCTCACTGTATTTATGAAATAAATAAATACAGCACATTGCTGTAACCAAGGGCCTTTTCTGGTATATATCAGGGACGTGCTATCTTCTTTTTGAATAGCAATGATTTTCACTGCTGAGAGATTCATGTAAGAGAATCTCATAATCCTAAAGGAGAATTGGTTTTTCAGCAGAATTAAAACATAGTGAATGAACTATTACATTGTTTTTGTTGACTTAGCAGCTTCAATACATTGACAAAGTTTGATATAGAAAGATCCAAAGTGTGTCTGAAAGTCCTGGACATTGTCACTTCTATTTTAATTAGAAAGGTGTCATTTATGCCCTTGAAGAATTACTGAAATTGGTCTGACATATATACCACTTCTTAATACTATTATATTGTGTCTTACTACTGATCACTTTAAAATGCAGAGAATGGTCATAGGTCATCACGGTTTTTCCTCTGGAAATGCCCAGATGGTCCCACCTCCAGTTTCAGTTGATAGTATTTTAATAACTGGATCTTGAGTAATTGCAAATTTCCTCTATTTGTGTTAAACTGACAATACCATGCTCTGCTGATAGATACATAAATAAAGAGCCAGTGAACTGATGCTGAAGACTGTAGCACTGCTTAAGATCTTGGTAGGTACAGTAAGTAGTTCTTATTAGTTACTTCACATAGCTCTTCAGCACAGCTGTACATCAGCTTCCCACCAGCAATCAGTCTCTAGTCCTCAGCTTTGTCTGGAGACTTTCCTGCCCTTTGTTAGTGCCAAAAAAATGTTGGTTTTGTTCTGCACCATTGTGCTTTCTGCCATGCAGTGGCACTTCTGCCTCAAAGAAACATTTCTCAATCATTTGAGTTGCTTAGGGTTTCTGTGTTCTTTTTTTGTTGTTGTTGTTTTGTTTTGTTTTGTTTTTTTCCATTTTTTCCCCCATTATTTCCATTCTTTGCTTTCCAATATGGGCTTGACTTGGGACAAGACATTTGAATATTTCTGCCGACACAAAAAAATCAGATTGAGGATTTCATAATTGAAACTGAAGTGTAATGTTAGGGAAAAAAAAAAAAAGAAAAAAAGAAGAGGTGAGAGAGTTGAGCTATTCAAGTATGAGTGAAAGGATAGAAGTGAAAAGATCGGACTTGTGAGCATTTTCAGATCAGCCAGAAACTTTTCTTTAAAGGAGATGGAATGAAAACAGAGGGGATACTCAACATTAAAGAATTTGGAGAATAGATCCTTAACCTGCATTATCACTACTTTGGAAAGTGATGTTGTACAACTCTGGGCAAGCTGTTCCTTCTTTCTTCTGTCTCTTTCTTTCATTTTGTTTGCCCTGTTTTGTTGGTTTTTTTTTTTTTCTCTGTGTTTTGTGATGTTTTACAGGAGATTTACGAAAGTAGAGCTTTCTATAGTGTGGCTATAACAACTGCTAAATACATTTTCCAATCAAAAACAAGCCAAGGATCTATGGTGTCAGAGTCTCAGAGACACAGATTTAACTTCATGGCTCTGAAGTTCCACCATCAAAAGATGACAGAATGAGCTGTAATGCTCTATCAGCTGTTTCCAGCATACATATAGAATAGGATATAAAGTATGTGTTTCTGAATTAAGTTTCAGATGTAGCTTTAACTCTCAGGCTGCCCAGTGAAGTGGTTTGAGTCGCTATCTTTGGGGGTATTTAGAAGACATGAAGGTGTGGCACTTAGGGACATGGTTTGGTGGCTCACCTGCCAGTGTAGGTTTACAGCCATAATCGATGTTAAGGGTCTTTTCCAACCTAAATCATTCCATGATTAATCACAGATTATTTTCAGGTCTAGAAAAGATATTTAATACAATGAATAACCATTTGACCAATATTAATCTACATGATGATGATGTCTTGTGTTCCAGGAATGTTACTAGGGCCAGAATCTAACACTGTTTATAGAAAGTTGAAATAATATGGGTTATATTCATCCTGCAGACATGAATCAGGATAGCCTCTTCAGAGAACATAGTATCAAATGAAAACCTTGAAATGTTGTTCTGAATTGAAATCCAAACAATTTTGCAATGTAAAAAAATGTTTAAGCTGCTTTTCTCTTCCTCAATTTTTCCATACAAAGCCTGCACTTTTCAAACAACAAAAATATTTATTCAAAAGTTAACGTAGGTATTAGGTAAAATCATTGCTCATCAAGTAAACTTCCCACTTCTTTCCAGTTGCAGATCTCCTGGCTTCCTTCTTCCTCCCTAGTTCCATATATGTAGTCATTTGCATAGAGTATGCATGATACAAAGGGCTCATGTCATCAGCACAACTGTTTAGGGTTGCACTTCAATCATTCTGTTCCTTGTCAACATTATCATTTTTTATTAAAATCAAAAGTATTAACAGAAAGTGGTTTCCCACACACACTCAAGTAAACAAAAGACAACTTAACTTCTATTTATTCTTTCTTCCTGGAGTTAAGCCTTAGGTTCAAGCAAGTGGCATTTTTTATATTTGGAGAGAATCAACCTTTGCAAGCAGTGGTTCAAGGCAGGCAGCGGGGGGGATAAGGGCATTAAAAAGGAAGAGCTGATTTTCATCCTTGGCTGTAATGGTACGAGGCTACCATTTACCCTCACTGTGTCTCAGTTTTCAGAACTAAAAATTTTAGTAAGAAGTTGTGATCAGCTCAATTCCTTCAGTCATAACCTCTTTCTTCCTCACTCTTTCTTATAAATGATCTGGGTTAAAAGAGATAAGGCAGAACCTTTCTGCTTTGCACTTTTAGGACAAGAGAAGACTTCAACCAGTGTCCATGGGACCCATTTGTGGTGGGTTGGTGGGCTCAAGTGTGCCTGTCTCCTGCTGTGATAAACACACTGATCATTTACATGCAAGCACCAGTCTGGTTCTCATTTAAAATCCTTTGAAAATGTTTCTAAGTTTCATTGGCTGTAAAACTGAAACTCTCTTCTGTCACTGCCCCTTCTGCCTCTAGCTGGCTGGTAGACTACTAATTACTTGTCTTTACCCATGACATGAGCTATGCCAGCAATAACATAAATACACAATATTTAAATCTCGTTTGCATTAAGCTAACAGCAAAGTGCTGACAACATTAAGAAGGGAGAGAAACAGAGAAAGAAAACTTAAAAAATAAAATCTTCCAACAGAATGCAATTAGCCTGCTGCTCACCTTCTCCTGTAGGGACTGCCAGAAGAAAACTTCTGTGTAATCATGGCATGATGAACTCTTTTTTCCTTCTTCCGTGACATAAATGAAGATCCTGGTAATACTCAACTGTTGAGTGGATTTAAAAAAACTCCAACAAAACCTGGCCTGCAGATCACTGGAAACTGGCAGAGTATTCCAAGAGAATATCACAGTAGGTTTGTGCTAATTCTGTATTTGCCCCTTAATGTTTGCTGTTGGGGGAGGATACTGGGGTAGATACACTGCTAGGCTGACATTGCCCAGTTGTTGCTATGTTCCTGTGGATTAGGAGGGCTTTCCTTGGAAGGGAAGGAACACACTGATTTAGCTTTTCATGAGTGTCTGCATATCCAGGCAGTAGCTGGCTGCAGGACTAAGCCCATATGAGTTATCATTTCTAATAGAAGTGACTCATTATGCTTAGCTGCCAAGTAAATGGTTCTGAAGGATTAAAATTCCATCTTTCCTATCCAGTGATGTGGAAGGGATGCCAAATATGGATACATATTCTCTTTTTAGTTCAAAGGTTGAGACTGCAGAAAGGCAGCTGAAGTAAGCCAAGCAGCTCTTTAAAGGCTGTCTTTACACTGAGGAATCATTTGGACATATGAATCAATATTTGTTATTCCACTGTTTTTAAAACCTTCTGACTTTTTAAAAGTGTAAAAATTCAAAACAACTGAAAAAGGAAATACACCAAAATAAACTCAAGTTTTATTGGGTTTTGCATGACATTATTTCCCAGGTCCAGGTGAAGACACATAACAGAAAGGTTGTCCATTTCCCTAAGGGCCTACAATGTAAATATAAAAAAAAGACATTATAAACAAATGCAACAATAGGAAAACACTGAGGAAAAAGCATGACAGAATTAAATACTGGGTTCAGGAACTTAGCACTGCAACAACCTCACACCCCCCTGTATATTTTATTATTTCGCAAAGCATTTTACTATAAAAATGTACACACACAGAGGAAAAGTAATTATCAAGATCCTTTTTTATAATAAACCTGTCATGTATTAACTCACAAAACCTCAGAAATCTCAGCTGCCTCCAGTATTGAGGAGCTTATGAAGATGAGCAAACAACCTAGCTTATTTTGCCTTCATTTCAGCTTGCACCAGTGGCCTGTTCCAGATAATTCTAGTATTTGCCTCTTGGTCAAAGTGTATGTTGTCTGTCACTTGCTACGCTATATGTCTGTGCAGCACATAGGATGCCTTTGTCCCAGTCCTTTGCTGTCACTGGAATGCTAGTATTAAAAATAATATATCAAATTGTGAATAACCAGTAGCAAAACTAAGACAGAACTTTTATAAACCACAATACCAGTTTCTAGGCTACTGATACGAAACTGGATTTTGACAGACAGAAATCAAAATAATGCTATTATGCCATCAGTTTCAACAAAGCTGCACCAGTTTACATTCATAGTATATAAGTTTACTCATTTATAATGTTGTGAGCACACAGCTTTTGCAACTATGATTTTTTTTTCCTCATTTTTCTCCTCCAAAAATGGAAACAAACTTACTGTCTACCAAGAGGAGATCTAACATATTAAATTAGATCATGGACCAACTGTATTAGATCAACATCTGTGCTCCCAGAAAAGGCTTGCTTACTGTCAACAATATAAGCTGACAGCTTTAGGATCAATCAATATTTTAAAACTTTCTTTTCTCTCATTCCTATTCCCTTTATCATTCCTTGAAGGAGCTTTGCAAAGTTTATTTGTTTGTTCCTACTTCAGAATTTCTCGCACTAATACTTCCATAAGAAATAGATTTGCCTCAAGTAGCTTACATTAATCTGGGATACAATAATGAATACATATTTGGAATAAATAATGCAGAATGTCTAAGTCTGATAATTATACTAATGATGACTGACATTCTCCTAGTACCTTCCAACCCCAAATCCCAAGGCACTTTATTGAACAAGTACAGATCTGGGGGTTGGGGAATGAGATGGGGAAAGATCCCTAGCTACAGTAAACTGCCAAAGCTTCTCTGATATTGGTTGGGCATCTTTACCATGCAACAAGTCTGTTCTTTTTTACACAACCCACACTATTAGCTATAAAATAGGGTGCTTCTATTATAAAATATTTTTTATGTTGGTAGCTTACTGGGTAAAGATATGTAAAAGGCTGATACTTAGGAGAATTAGGAGTGAAGTAGGAGGCTACACCACCTCTTGGAGCAGTTTATGCTTCACTGATGCCCATTTCCTGCAAGGAGAGGCAGGTAGGTGACTAAATCAGCCAAAGGAAGGCAACAGCTGTTGCTGAGGCATACGATAGTGCCCCATTGCATTCATACCACTTTGTTTCCATGCTGTAGAATAGGTGTGGCCAACAAATAGCAGATGTCTTAAATGAAGACCAGCAAATAACATGCTGCTAAGGGTTGGGTAGACATGATAGCATACTTCTGAAAATGCCCACCAGCTCTGTCATGTTAATGAAGAAGTGTTGCACCTTTCAGCCTTGTAGTTGTGGGTTGTTTTGTTGTTTTGTTGTTTTGTTGGTTTTTTTTTCACAAACAGGGAGCAGTTCCTGGCATTGATGTCCATGGTCATGGGAGGCAGGATTCAAACCAGGGGCTTTTCTAATCAGCTTCCCCTGGACTTGATGTTCTCTAAATCCAAACTGTAGGTGAGGGATAAATGGGTGAAGGAGTTGCCAACTGAAGGATGACCCAAAGGTTGCAATTTCATAAAAGCCAGCATTGAAGGAAGCTGCTGGCTTTGGTCAGTATGCTTAGCAAGATTTGGAGAACATTTCCAAAAGCAGTGGTCCATCTTTCTGCCACAGCGTTACTGAGCTCTGACAAAGAAAAAGCTACTTCTTTTTTTTTTTTTTTTTTTTTCCTTTGACAAACAACTTTCTCCAGGCCACTTTGACCCAAAATTCACTTCCCATGGAGAATTCAGGGTACCAGACCTGTGTGGTCCCCTCTTGACGAAAAGATCCTTTACTGTTGGTTGTTGTTTGATTGTTGTTTTGTTGTTTTTTTCTGCTGACAGCAGGATGTAAATGTATTCTATATAAAGCTGGAAGGTCTTACAGTAGCTAGCAGTTGGAGTAATATCTGGACATCACTTTCACAAGTGGCCTGTGCAACACTGTAAATTTTGTGGACCTTCTACAAGTACCATGGAACAGATTGTGCCTTAGGTGTCAGGGACATGAGAACCATTTTAGAAGTCTGCTTTGTCCCCAGTTAGATTCTAATGGAAGTAGAAAAGCTCCCAGATGTAACAGGGATAACTCTGAACCCGTGTGCTCTGGAGCAGATGTACAAAAAAGGAGCGCAGCAGGGACTTCTTCACAGAGGTGCACAGATTTATCTACAGGGTCAGAGTCTTTGATGAGCCATATACATCTTCCTTTTCATAAATGCTTCAGTGGGACTATTCACATGAGGAAAGATAATACAAAGATTTGCCTATAAAAGCATGGCAGACAGAAACACAATGTGCAGCTGGAGAGTGATAAGGGAAATTGATTTCTTTTTCCTTTTCCTTTTCACTTTATTTCTCCTGGGTGGCAGCAGCAGTTCTGTTCATCAGTTACATTGCCTCCTTCTCCTATACAGGAGCAAATTTTCCAACAAGCTCAAGCCCACTACATGTAGATATATTAAATAATCCGCCTCTTAAAAAAAAAAAACAACAAACAGACTTTTCACAAAAATCTGCTTTATGTTCTTCAAGTTACTGAATATTTTCCATTTTTCTTTATACTCTTCACAAAGCCATAGGACTAAGAACATTGCTCTGTTGTGCAACTGTCCTAATCAGCAGGTCATTTGGAGAGATACATGTCACCTAAACAAGGCTTTTATGTGCTACATATAGTATTAAACATTTAACCACCCATAAGATTTCTGTGCAGTCTCTGCTTGTGTTTAGGTTGCAGATGAGGCAATGTCAACACAAGCATGATAAATTGGAGGTTTCTTCTGCAGACTGCTTGCACACACACAAGCAAACACTTCATTAGCAAGACGATAAACAAAACAAAACAAAACCCACAGCAGTCCCCACAAATGTGTCAGTAAACTGCTTCAGGGTAAGAAAAACCCTCTGCATTAACTTCAGCATATCAGGGAGACTGGGAAGATGCTGCCTGGCTGGAAGAGTCTCCTGGCCTGCACGTTGCCTCTGTGAGAGGAGGCTGAAGATTAGAAATCCTCCCCTCCCACAAAGGGCCAGTCTTGCTGGTCTCTGCCTGTCTGCAGCTGGGCTCCTGCAGCTGTCAAGAATTTGGTACTTTGCCTGAAAGCTCATCCTGTGAAATTACTCAAGAAAAAGCAGCTGGAGTTAATGCATTCTGGCACATGAGGAATGCTTGTGTCCCCCTCCAATTTAAAGGCAAATTCTGAAATTCTGCTGCAGGGACCAATGCCCTTTAGGGAGAAGGGAAACGTTTGGGTTCTCTCGGGTGTAAGAAAGTGTTGCAAATAATAGTCTCAATGCTGTTTATCTTTCTGCAACCAATTTGGAGAAAACTGCTTAAGAAATACACACAGTTCCATTAGGAAGTATGTTTTTCCCTGTGATTTTTCTTCTAAGTTTTTATAATTTCTAACATTTCCAATTTCTAATTAGAAACGTTATGATTCAGAGAAAACTCCAGGAACAAACTTGCCAACAAAGTTTTCAAGCTGACAAGCAGGTATTCTTTATTGCGGCGCCAGGAGACACGGGAGATAGCTCCTCCTAACGTGTGTCCCTGTATTGCTAAGCAAGCCATCCTTATGTAGTCCCTGGGCATACATACATATTCATGAGGCTACATATGGATTACATCATTTTCCAGAGAGTTCCCTGCATGCATACAGAATTGTGGTGGTGGTCTCTGATGGTCGTTTACTTCTTCCAACAATCTTCATCACTGCTGGCAGCCTTTGAAGCACGCACAGTAGATGCTCATACCAGTTTAATTGGTTCATTAGCACCAGAGACATAATAATCCTCCTATCCTCCTACTTATCAGTTGGTTTAACTGTAGCCCATCCTGGACACCTGCAGTTCCCAGATACTCCTTATCCCTATGTCCTGTTCTTTTGGACTGTTTTTCTTAAAACTATGCCAACTATAATGATTTATCTTGTGAGAATTCTCAGTATGTTCTCTAGCTGTACTCTTTTTTTTTTTTCTCTGTGTACCATGCACCTCAGTAATTTTCCATTGCTACTGTTACAAAGCCATCAAACTTAACATTACTTAAAACTGATTCTAAAGGTTTTTATATATTCCATTTTGTGATTTTGTACCCCCTTGTTTCAGTTAACTTATTCAGTATTTTACACTCCTCCCACAATTTTTGCTATTGAGCACAACAGAAAGTGATACCTATGGGATTCATAGAATCATAGAATGGTTTGTGTTGGGAGGGACCTTAAAGATCATTTAGTTCCAATTTCCTGCCATAGGCAGGGACACCTATTAGATCAGGTTGCTCAAAGTGCCATCCAACCTGGCCTTGAACACTTCCAGGGACACCCACGACTTCTCTGGGTAACTTGTTCCACAGCCTAAGCACCCTCACAGTAAAGAGCTTCTTCCTAGTATTTAATCTAAATCTAACCTTTCTAGTTCAACTGTTTTCATTTTGTTTCCTTCACTTATATATTTATTCAGCTGCTTTAACTTTGTAAAAGGTAAATCAAAGGCATCTTCTCTTTCTGCCAAGATGGTCTGAGATGTATCTTGATTTTTTTTTACTATTTTCTTTTTTTACATGAGCTTTGTCTGACAGTGTAACTCTACTGATTTCAAACATTATAATCTAAAGGAGATGAAATACAAGAAAAGATATTAAAAAAACAGTTATGAGGCTCATTCATAAAGTAGAATTCATAGCCTGAAAGTGGTGGAGCAGGTATTTAAAAAAAAAAAGGAAATTCAAGCTATGTGAGATAAAAATAACACAATATTGGTAAGTTGGAAGTGTATTTCTGGAAGCATTGAGCCTGGACTGTTTGATGAATGATTTTCTCTGTGACTTATCAGATATCTGTTTCATATGCTAACTTCAGAAAGTGTGATGTTCACATTCTCTAGAATCAAGGAAGTCTAGGCTGTCTTCACTCATCACTTGCTGCTTCAAATTATTTGATTACAGGAACTCAGTGAAACTAAAAATATGGTGCATTTCTTCCTAAAAAAATTTTCTTGATAAGAACTTGAATACATTCACCATCACTAACAAGTTTAAATGTTTTATGTTACATGTTATTTCTGAATCAATATAGCAAGATAAGAAAACTGCCTTTTCTGGAAGGCCATCAACATATGCATTTGTTGGTTGTTGGTTTTTTTTGTTTGTTTGTTTTTTTACAGAAGCTTTTTTTCTCCCACACACTGCAAGCTGGCTCTTTAAATTGGTTTTTAAATTGGTAAAGACTTACGGATGTGATTTTAGTAGTAGCTCTGGTACAGTTATCTGCTTGTATCAGCCCAATACCTAGTGAGTATTGGGGTTTATATTTTTTGTTCCTCATGGTGCTTGCATGTTTCTTAGCATATTGTCCTGGTATTTATGCATCTCTGAGTGAGTTTGTTGTGGAATGAAATAAGTAACATTTGAAATATACTAGTTTACAGAAAACTTGGGCTAAAACCATAGGTTTTACATAGGTTAAAACTTTCATAGACAGCGAGAAATCTTTTATAATTATTTTTAATGTAGCTAGTACTTAAATATTTTGTGTAGTATTGTTTCTTTTAAACAAGGCACTGAAATAAAAGGCACAGTTCCAGAAAAATGTATGTTGGACTTGTAAAACAACCCTGCAAAATTATGGTTGAATTGTTAGTCTTGATAGGTATGTTTCAGACATACTTGTGCCTCTTAGGTATTTTTCTATATGGACGTTATTTATATGGATATTTTTATTATGTATATTATTTTAAACACTTCCTCTGTATTTTTAACCTTCTTCAGATTCTTTGAAGGTTTTTTTTTTTTAATGTACTATAGGATCCTACATTTGTGGTACTGTCCCTTCAGACTGTCCTCAACTGGAGCATTTTCTTTCTTTTTCCACTTCCTTTTGCCTCTGTCTTTAATTCAGTCTCAAAAGTTTAGTTTTTTTACTGCTCAAGTGTCTTCTTATCTCTTTGTATTTTATTTTTAATTTTATATATTTATAGTCCTGTGTCATGGATGTGACTCAGGTAATGAATAGCTGAAAATCGAAGTTCATAGTTATAAATTTTCTTACATTTCAGGTAGTTTTGCTTTTTTTATTCTTGTCTCCTAAATAGGATCAAGTATGACTGCAAAGTGTCTCATTTTTCTTTCCCATAAAAATATTTGGGAGGGTCACAAGGGCTTCTCAGAGGTTAATAAATTACATAACTCGAATGAGTAGCAAAAATCAAAGCAGCGATCACTTCAAAAGTGTCTACAGCTGTAACCCCATACTGGAGATGTTCAGAACTTTGTACCACTTAGTTTCTTGTTTACTGTATAATTTATACAAAATCAAATTATTTTCAGGCATATAATTAGTCTCTGCATGTGAAAAAACAACTGTTTATTCAATTACATGTTTTAAAATGCCACCAAGACTCACTGTTGTCTGAGAACTAATTCTATTCATGGAATTTTGACTCTTTCTGACTCTGAATGCTGTTAGCGTA